AGGACGGAGGAGAAGGAGGACGGAGGAGAAGTGCAAAATAGTGATATACTGTGAATGACCTAAGGGAGCAAAATTCAGGAAGAAATACAACGCAAACAAAAGATGTGTATAAATATACCACAGGAGCAAACACGAGTGGATTTCTTCCCCAATCCCAATTTCTGAATTTTCATCTCACAAGAAATTCCAAATAATTTGCCTGTAAATAGAATAACAGAATTCTCCAAAGACAATTATAGAACTAAAGTTTTTTAACTTTAAAGTTTTTTCCAGTGGAAACCCAACATTTTTCTTTTTCTGCAAGGACACTCAGGTAGATGGTTGCAGAAATACCATGACTACATTTACCAAGAGGAGAATGACAAACCAGCTGTATGGCTGGAAAGGTGTGCAAAAGAACAAGAGACTACTTAATGTACATCTTGCAGCTTGTATTGTCCAGCTGAGGTGCAACTATCCTTTGTGCTAACAGACTAGGAGAACAGACTTTATGATCAAGTAACGAATGGGTACTAGACTGTAGCAGCTTGGCTTGTAAGGTTCTGAGGAGTCAGAACAATCCATAGTTCAAACTAAAGGGAGCTATGGTGCTTGGCATTTAAAATATGTCTGACGGACACATGCGTTCTCACACATGTTATATTATAAGCTTACCATATGCAAACTATGGGAAAATCAGCTGACTGAATGAGTCATCTGAACCTAGGCATCTTGGTACAAATTTGTTTTCACAGAAACACAGAATTATTGAGGCTGGAAAAGACCTCTGAGATCATCACGTCCAGCCTATGACCTAACACTACCACATCCGCTACACCATGGTACTAAGTGCCATATCCTGCCTCTCCTTAAACACCTTCAGGAATGGTGACTCCACCACCTCCCTGGGCAGTCCATTCCAATGCCTGATCACCCTGTCCATGAAAAAGTACTTTCTAATATCCAGCCTAAACCTCCCTGGTGCAGCTTCAGGCTATGCCCTCTTGACTTGTCACTAGTTGCTTCGGAGAAGAGCCCAACCCCCACCTTACTACAACCTCTCTTCAGGTAGTTGTAGAGAGTTATAAGGTTCCCCCGAGTCTCCTCTTCTCCAGGCTAAACAACCCCAGCTCTCTTAGGCCTCTCGTTATAAGACTTTCCCTCTAGTCCCTTCACCAGCCTCGTTGCTTTCCTCTTTACCTGCTCCAGCACCTCAATATCCTCTTCTTGAAGTGAGGGGCCCAGAACTGTACACAGATTCCATTCTATTTACCCAGAGTAAATCCTCTTAGGTTTTCCTCTTAGGCTAAGATGAAGCCTTTTTTCCAGGTTCTGACCCATACATCAGTCCATCATTTTGGTAGACTGCTAAAATGTTAAAAGGTGACAACTGCTACCAGCAGTACTTATCAGGAGCAGCATAAAAAAAACTAAAAAACAAAACATGCATCTACTTTATATAAAATATTTAAATTACCTTTCAGTAAGACTGTCTACCTCTATTGATTTTCCTATTGGTCATTGACCAAAAAAATAAAGTTAAAAAGAATCATGTAAAACTCTTCCTTACTTCTCCGGCATGATGAAGTGCAACAAAGACCAAAGCTCTTTGAGGGAGTTCTGTAGAGGTGTTCCAGTAATAAGAAGACGATGGTTAGACTTAAAGTCTATTAGAGTCTTGTACAGAAGAGAGTCGTCGTTTTTTAAACGATGAGCTTCATCAACTCCTATGAATGCCCAATTCAGACCACCAAGGAATGACTTAAAGAAATGGGGGGAGGGGGAACATTATAGAATTAAACACATTGTATGACATCTCGCATTTTAGAATCAAGCTATAAACACCATCACCTTATGGTTTAATAAAATATGGACAACTCAAGAATCCAAAAATTAAGTTTAAAAGGAAAAAATGGCCAAACTTCTGACACGTTAATTTTTACATGACAGAAAGAAAATCACTATTGACCTCTTCTTCCCAGCATCTACAAACACATGAAGTAAAAATGTTCTTCTGAACTATCTATAAAAAAATTATATACTGTTAGAAGGATTAACAATAACTCTATGTGCTACCACTATGGAAACAATATTGATACATGTACACATACTATGGCATCCATGAAGTGGAAGAAAAGCTATATGGTATTTCAGAGCTCTGTATCATGCTTTGAGCTAGAGGTTGGGCTCTTTTTCAGTTTCTTAATGGTGCTTTGCAAAGAAGTAGAGGTCTTGAAGATGGGAAATTACAGCAATAAGAATCCCAAGCAAACTGGGAAAAAAGCGTTACCCACTTAACGTGGAAAAAGGCTGAAAGCCTCACCACACACACAGAAGACCTAGAAGTGCTTAGAAAACAACCACACACAAAAAAACCCCAAAACAGTCATGCACTGTCATGCTTCCAGCAGCAAACAGCTATCACACTTTCCATAAATTTAATGGTTCACAATGCAAATACATGCAAGTCTAAAGAGAGTTCTACACTGGAGAAATTATTTTTATCTCCCTGAAGAAATGTGTTTACCTTATCCTTCAGCAAAATTTCATATGTTGTTAGAAGTATGTTAAATTTTAATCGTTTGGTCTGTGGATGCATCCATTCATGAGTTCTAATCTGCAAAAAGAATCAAGTAAACTATATGCTAGAGGAAAAAAGTTTTGTCAACTGGGATGAATTTAAGTACTGTAACTGTTAAATGGCATACAGTAATATGATCACAAAACAGAAGCCCAACCTACTAACATACACAAGACTGAACTTCCAACCTAAGTACTCCAAAAAATATTTCATTTAAGTGCTTCATGAACAAACAGCAAAGACTTTCTACAAAATATTTCTTACTTTAAAGGGTACGATTACTAACATGAAGGAAACACATTAAGAAAACAAACCAACAACCTTTCAAGACATCAGTTTAAGATCATGACTGGCTTACAGCTTGTTTTTGCTACACTCACTTAAATAATCTTAAGAATTGCTTTCAAAATGCAAGACTAAATTTTTAATCCTGTTCATTACTAATCAGAAAGGAAATCTTTCACATGCATTTATATAAGATCAAAATCTAAGCTTTCAATTTGCATCATAAACACACACAGTGGAGATTAGCAGAGGACAGGAATACGAAGTGAGTCTTGTTTATCTATGTTTTTATCTTTCTAATGTTAAGGAGAAATACTCACCATATTTCTGCTAGTTATATCCCCCAAGTAAACTACAGCATTCATCTGAGGAGCCCAAGTTTGAATCTCTCTTTGCCAAGATGTCAATGTAGAAAGTGGTACGACCAGCAGAAAAGGCCCATACAACTGATGTTCGTGAAACAGGTAGTTCAGAAAAGAAATTGTTTGTATTGTTTTACCCAGACCCATTTCATCTGCAAGAATACAGCTATTCCCTCTACAAAAAAAAATTCAGGGGAGATGTAAAGAGGGGGAGGGATTGGACAAGAAGAAGTTATTACCTTTTGAGCATAAAACAAGTTTTCAAGATTTTGCAGCTATACATCTTGAAGAAGTTTATTTCCACTGTTTTTCCATAAAAACAATTTCTACCCTCCCTCTCTTAATACCTGAATTATATTAATAAAATGAAGAAAAAGCTTGCAAGTACTCCTCATGAGTTTAACGTTAAAAGTAAATTAATGTTAAAATTAAAACCAGTGTTGACATATCAGAAGTTTCCTTTAGGTTTTCCGGTTTTACTGGTTTAGGTTTGTTTTTTAAAAATATTACTTAGTCCAACACAAAATTAAAAGCAAAGCAACAACAGAGCTTAGCTTTTTTTGGGAACATGGAATAGCTTTGGCACTACATAGAGCAAAACCACTCCCCTCAGATCTCTACTTTGAGCTTAGTGTATGAAATCCTCCATTGTAAAAAACAAACAAACAAACAAACAAAACCCCAAAAAACATAAAAATGACAGTTTTACAAATGCTTACAATTTAGAAACAGGAAAAATCTAAATTCAGACTATACTTACTTGCACCATGAGTGAGCAAGCCAATTCAATCCATTTAACTGATAATCTCTTAACTCTAAACCTTCATGGCCTCCAATGTAAGATGGTTGCTTCTTTAGTGCAACAAACCTTGGCCTCTGTTTTAGAACCTGTCGAAAGCAAATTGATCATCAGCCCTAGTACTGACTGAAGTTACACAAATGTCTTCATATAGAAAAAATGGCAGTAGGGATCTACTGGATCACCAAGTCTAGTCTTTATCCATCAATGAAAACTAGGCCATACAAAAACCACCATGCAATCTGTAAGTTGAAATTAGTTTGATTGCTAATCTGAATTTCACAACTGCAGTGACATTAACTCACTCAAAGTTAACTTCTAAAATAAACTACAGTACTAAACAAAACCATCTTTCAATGCCAGTAAAAATGCAGGGGACTGGTACCTACAAAAAGCTAATATTAGTAGTGGTATTTTCCATATATATTACTATATGTCATTATTATTATGCTGAAAAACCTTAAAAAATATTTCATAATATGTATCTTATCTCCAGATTCATAGAAGATTTTAACATTTTTACTGTCATAACTGACGTGCTGGCTTGAACACAGCTGACTGCTAAGCCACCATCCAGTTGCTCACTCCCCACCCTAGCAGGGCAGGGGAGAGAACTCAAAGGGCAAAAGTGAGAAAAATATAGGTCAAAATAAAGAGTTTACTGAATGAAGGAAAAAAATCCAACCAGCCAAAACAAAAACCCACAACCCAAAAAAATCCTCGAGTGACAGAAATCACATACTAACTCACCAGCAGACTGATTACCAGCAAGCCTTCAAGCAACAACCATCTTTGAACACCCAGCCCACACAGATTTATTGCTGAGTATTACATTAAATGGCATAGAATATCTCTTTGGCTAGCTGAGGCCAGCTGTACCGGCTGTGTTCTCTCCCAGTCCCTTGCGCACCACCAGCCTACTCATGGCAGTGAGCACAGCAAGAGACAGACAGGGCCTTGACACTGTGCAATCACTGTTTAGCAACTGTCAAAACACTAGTGTGTTATCAACACGGTTTAGGTCACAAATCTAAAACATGCACCATAGAGGCTGCTATGAATAGAATGAACTCCATCCCAGTCAGACTCACTACAACAGATTATAAATCCATTCCAAATTACATACTCACCTTGCAGTCCTTAAATGGAGTGGTCTTGGACTGATTTCTGCTAAAGTACTCATCAATGCGTGCCTGAAACTTTTTAGCAATAAGAGCACCATCTTCCCAGCTACATTCTGAGTAAGGCAGGCCTTGCCATTTGCAATAGTAGTCTGGATAACCAGCTGCTGATTTCTGATTTGAATGAGCTGCAGAAATACACCAGATATGTCTGATCAGGATTTTACTCCTGTATCTTAGGAAAACCATCATTTTAGGTAATGAGACAACATAAGCTAGATATACAGCACAGATAGTATGACAACTTTTCTCTTGACCCAAATTTTTGTTTTGGATTAAAAAGTTACTGATATTAACATTCTGAATTTCTCAGCTACAAATGCAACACATAAGCAGTGAACATACAGAATTCTCAACACTGTTTTCGGTCCACAAGTATGTAACATACCAATTATTCTTTCCACTATCTGATATTGTTTATGTAAATCATCTGTAAGCTCCTGCTGGCAGTTGTAATATTCCACATCTTCTGGAGAAGCATTTTTCAGCCTGCAATGGGAATTAATGCACAACATTTATTATACTGTACAGTTCTACAACTAATAAAATTTAGCACCTCTAAAGCTCTGAATGTAAGCATCACAGTTATGTCACTTAGAGAGCTTCTTTGAAGGGACACCTCAGAATCCCTACTACAATTTTTTTGCATCTGACCTAGATGCCTCATCATTAATGACTGAGAATGCTTATCAAGACAACTACTACAGCTACAGGTGGTATGAGTCATGCAGCTAATTCAGTATACCTATTCTCAACAATAAATAGTGTACTTTACAGGGTATTTTCATGAACACGAAGTATTCAGGGTGGTACACTCTATAAGAATCTAATCTAATTAAATCCATCTAATGATTAACTTGGTAAAAATCCCACCAGTATTCATTGTTATTATTAAGCATACTAATAAAACTGAACACCAAAGAGGTGACTTGGAAATGTATGGATTTCTTCAGATTTTTGTTCTCAGGCCTGAACAGGTTCTCAGGTTTGAGCCAAGAAAACAAAATTCTTCAAAATAATCTGAAATGGCTAATGCACCAAGAAAACATTAATCTCTGCAGTGATTCCTGAAGAACTCTGATAAAAGTATAACACCACAATTAATAAAAGGTAGAAATTTTTATTTATTTTTAAACACTACTCATCTTGTTTAAACTCAATTTACAATATACACACCCTCCCTAAAATCAGGTTCAGAAGATGATCCTACAGGAACATGTTAAACAGACATCAAACTTTAAAATTGTTTGCCTTCCTGCTGCATAGACACTTGAAATTATTCCCTCAAAAAGAGGTAACAGGTTTCAGAGGCACAAAAGAACATCTATATTGTTACAAAATAAGTCTTGTGGAATTCTACATAAAAATATTCACCATCGTTTTGTTTCCTGATCCTTTTTCTTGTAGTTGTCTAGTTTCTTCATTCCTTTAACGTTTTGTTGCTTCAGTGTCTCCTCAGTTTCCCAAGTGTTATGGATGTGTGACCAACCTTTCCATTTAATAAGATACTGTATTTCTCCTGGCTCCTTTGACTTTTCAAACCCAGCATTTAGGTCACCATCTGCCTCAACTGCATAGATGGTTGTTGCAGCACCCGTGGCTGAGAAAGAAACCACATAATCAACCTTAATTAAGTGTGCACTGTCGTAACTTAACTAGTAAAAAATGTGGCGTAGAATACAATTAGTGGTATTTTCAGATGAGCATATACTTGACTAGTATCTACAGCCCTCATATCGTCACTGTTAGCTGAACAACTATAATGCTGACATGCTAACACATGACAAATAGTCAAAAGAGAATCTAAAAAGCAACCAAAACTTCTGCACCTAGTCTACAATATCTTATCTTTTCTCAGGAGAATTTTCTTTGTATTCCTAGTTTTAAAAGTGATCACCAGGGAACACTTTACTAACACTGCTTGTCATCTTTTCTGTCATATTACTCTCATCTCTGAGCTTACAAAAGACACCTGACATCACTCTTGGTCAGCCTTGGGTCATCAATAACCTACTACTAGGGGTACTATAAATTTATTTCTTCCTAATAATGTTTTACTCCTTGTTCTGTTTCTGTTACCTCACCTAGGAAAATTTTTAATTAAGTACAGTCTGTATCACAGCAGGTGATAACGTGTTGCATGATAATGCACTCAGGATCTTAAGAACACCAACAGGAAAAAAAAAAATATACCTCCTTTTCGGCCAACTCGACTGTCCATGAACTTCTCTATAGTTTCAAATTCGTCTTCTTCAGTTTGAGGGACATCTTCTCCACAAACTTCCAGCAAATCATCAGAATCTGTCTTAGTTTCTTCAGCTTCTTTGTAACTAATGTTGACTGTTGCCTGGCGACGAGATCCTCTCTTATCGCAATCATCATCATCATCACCACCATCATCATCATCATCATCCTCTTCCTCCTCTGATGACTCAAGTTGCCTCTTTTTTGGTCCTGCACTTTTTTTACCACTTTTCAGCTTAATTCTTGAAGATAGTAAGATATGACACAACAATGACGTTTCAACAGAGAAAACTATGAATCCTCTGTATTGTTTTCTGCATACACGGATTTAATGAATGCTGATTTAATCCACTTTCAGTTACAGTAGACAGGAAAAGGTATTCCGTAGAAAGCATTAGTATATTAACACCTTATGTAGATTTCAGAAATACTAATTTTTAAAAAATAAGCATTAATGTTTTCATTCACATATATAGTAGTAGTAAACACTCCATTGCTTATTAGATATCATACCAGAGTATTCAAATGCGTGACTTCTTACCTGCTTGGAGGTTTTCGGCTTTTGACCTTATTTTTTGGCTCATAGTCAGATTCACTCTCTTCACAACTGCTTTTCTCCCCGTCTTCCTCCGATTCAGAATCTGAACCGGTTCCTGATACTGACCCTGAACCTGACATTTGCCAGTCTTCACTGGACATATTGAAATACAAAAAAGTAACTTATATTAAAAACCAACAACAACAAAAAACAACAAACCAAAACAAAATCAGGTATTCATCTACAGAGTATATGTTGTAATTTCAACATTCTTCACAGAAATACAAGTCTTGCAAGTTATTTCCACTGATGAGACAGAAAACAGTAATCAATGAATAACAGACAAGTAAAAATTCTCAATGGCTTCAAAGGGATTTGCACTAAGTCTTCTGTTATCAAGAGGTAGGTATAAAATTCAAAATAAAACAAAAAATGGATTTCTATATAAATTTCAGCATGAAGATATAAGTCAACATGACATTAAGCAACCAAAGCACTTAACAAGTATAACTGGAAAGATACATATTTATCAGAACTTACACATGCTCAAATCATAAAGCTCTACCTTGCTATATTCTTGAGATTCCCATACTGTCTAATGTGTACAGTGCGAATCAAAAAACAACAGGCAGATTTGAGAAACACCCAGAAAACTGTGAATTGCAGTAACCTGTGAGTAGCACTGGCTCCCAAAAGCTTCCACTGAGCTTCTAGATGAGTGTTTCACCGTCAGGCAAGATACTATGAGTAACACACTTGTGACTGAGCAGCAGGATCTCCTTTTTCCTGCCTAACTGAGATCTTCTACTTTGCAATAGGAAAGATGTACCCACTGATGAACAGTATCTTGCTTTAAACTCTGACTTTATTATACAGGCAAATTTGATCTTAACAGCTTCATGAAAAAGAAAGGAGTAAAACAAAAAGTCTGGTATACATTATTACAGTGTTGCTAAATCTTTATACCAACATCAGGTCCAGGTTTACTTGACCAAGGTGCTAGAGCAGTATTAATGATCATCAAAACTGGAATATTACCAAGAAATCTCTTCCTTAAGTTTCCAAACAGAAAGCCTAGGAATCAATACTTTGATCCTTCTCTTCTTTTCTCTTTCCTATCATCCAGAACACTGGGTCCTGGAGGAAATTACAATTCCACTGTTCCAGTCATCCAAGACGAATACATGTGTCTATTTTACAGAGAGCACATGGCCAGTGGTACAGAATGTCTTATTAAAATACTTCTTCTGCAAACAGTAAATTAAAAAAAATAAGAACATAAAGCTATGACCTGTATTTATTTGGAAATACAAAAACAGATATAAAGCACCATCCTCTAAGGCTTGATCATGTACCAAGGTATACAAGTTAAGAAATGTCCAATCTGCATGTCAGATAACAGTGGCAGAAGTTCAGAAGAACCTTAAGACAAAAATTCAAGCACTGGATATATGAAGCCATTTAGTTACAGGTTCCTAAGCTTAAATATCTGTCCCATAACAGTATGCTATCTAAAATTAGATATAATCAAATTCTTAACTAACAAAAGACTGAATAAACAGCTCATTGCTAGAGAAACACCATTTTGCATAGTTAGTGCTTTGGGTTTTTTTTGTGCACCCTTTTTTTCAACTACCGTTTCTTTAAGATGTTATACTGGCAAAGGCTGTACTGAGGTGGTTCATGAATTCAGAAAAGAAGAATGATGTAACAGTTCAATTTCTACATGTCATAAAGAACACAGGTCATTGCCTCTCACTGTCACAATAACAACATTTAATCCTTTTCACAAACTTTCTGATCTATGACTTAGAAGGAGCTTATTTCAGTTAAAATTCTTTGTTAGTTAAAGTTAATTACTGTCAGAACTGTAAGAACTTTTAAACATAGAACTTTTAAAACATTTTACGTAGTTTCCCATTTCTACAAGAATTTTTAGGGAAGGCCTTCAGCTCAAAAATAAACTGCAACCAAGTACTTTAAAAATAAAAGCACTGATGAATGTTTTTGAACAATACTGAAGAGTCTTTTGCTCAGAAATTAATATAAGTGTTCCTTTGAGAGTTTGTTATAAATATTCCAAAACACTTATCAAAATTTTAAATGCAAGATCAAGACAAATTAAAAAAAGAGAACGTAAGCATTTCAAGTGAGGAGAAATGAAGCATTACTATGAGCATACGTCACTATAACAAAAGAAAGTTGTATTACTTATGAAAATATCTTACTCTTTATGTTTTTTCTTCTTGGTTTCACTGCATGAGTCATCTGCAGAGTCTTCACTACTCGATGAGTCCTGCAGGTGAAGAAAAAAACCCCCAAACAATTCATTATCACAAAAAGAATGAAGTACCTCCAACATTAAAAAGATAAATCAGCTCTACTCTCAAATTGGAGGTACATTATTCATGTTTTACCCACTTCATCCCTGCCACAGTGTATCTGTTAATGTAGAATGAGGTAAGGACTGCCATTGTTTTTGTATTTATTCATCTACAAAAACATTGTGCCAGCACAGCTCTAGAGAACAACACAAAACCCCCCTGTGTTTCAAAAATAACCATTTTGCCTACATAAAAACAGTCATGCCCCAAATTAATCCAGATGATGGTCCTATCAAAATTCTAATAATGTCTCCTACCCTCAGGGGCTTTCTCACTTTCCATATTCCTTCACTTTTAAAGACTAGTTTAAGAAAATTTTGAAAACAGCATGTTTTTTCTTTATGCTCAAAGAAAAAACAAGAGCCCTCTTAAAATAAGATTTTCCTCACACCGATCTCATCTAGACTGTTTATATTTAGATTAAGTTTTATCCTGAAAAACATCTTTCTGAAAAAGAATACTTAAAAACAGTTGTAAATTAATGTTTTAACTGGATTAAGTTCTGTGTGAAAGTTTTAGTGGTGAGTTCCTAAACCAGACAAAAAACCAGAAATCCAGCCAAATAAGTGTGACTACACTGCACAGCTTTTGTAATGAAGGAGAAAATGTCTACTATATAAATAAATTCCATTTCATAGTCACTAGTGTCCTTAAAAGATGTCCCTACTGCACAAAGTCATCATTTCTGTAGCCTATTACTTAGTTTTTAAAATACCTGGAATACAGGTGTCATTCTTAAAATTGAAGAATTCTTTTGTGGTAACTATTACAAAATTTGCAAAAATGTAATTTTGTATTTTTGTAACTTCACAGAATTTTTAAAAAACACAGCAGCTACATTTATACAGACACAAGTTGAAAAAAACCTTCTAGTGTTTTTAACTGCCTTTACAAAACTCAAGCAGCCAAAAATGCAATGCAAGTCATTATATGGCTTGAAAATTTTGTCCATATATCACACAATATCTGCCTAAAACACTACATGATCAAGTCTGCTCTAATTCTCATAGAGTTTTATGTACACTTAGAGAATATAAATTGGCTTTACATAATTGTCGTGGTTTAGGCCCAGTGCGTAACTGAGCACACAATGCCCCAAAAATGGGGCTAGTCAAAATAAGGACTGGGAGGGCTTCTCACCACTTAAACAGGTCACAGGCGAAAGACAGACTCATCAAAAGGAATAAAAAAAACCAACAAAACAATTTAAATTTGTTACAAACACCTGAGTAGAACAATGGGAGATACAACCAGATCTTAAAGTCAAAACACCTTCCCCTCACCCCTCCCTTCTTCCCGGGCTCAGCTTTTGTTCCCAGCTTCTTCACCTCCCCCCAACTTTGCCTGGAGGAGCAGGGGGATGGGACTGGGGGCTGCAGTTGGAGTCCTGCCATGTGGTCCTTCAGGGGGTACGGAGGGCTCTGCCCTGCATCTCTCTGCTTCCACATGGTACTCCTTCCACAGCAGGAAAAGTCCTCCAAAGTCCAATAAGGGTCTGCCCACAGCTGCAATTTTCCCTCATGCTCAAAACTGCTTCAGCCCAAGTCCACATAGCTCCAATTTGGGTCTGCCCATGGTCACAGTTGCAGGTCTCTTCTGATGGTTCTGAAGAGTTCCTGTCTCTCTTTCTTTCGTGTTGAAGCTGTAGCAGGATTTAAGCTTAAGTTGGGGTTGGGTTGGCCCAGCTGGGCCAGGGCTGCACCACCCACACTTGGCCGGTGCCAGAGAGTGCACAAGCGTGCCCTGCACCCCCTTAAATACCTGAATTCACAGGGGCGCTGATTGGCTTGGCCCTGGTCAGAGGTGGGTCTGACAAAGGAAAAGGGGGAGCTTTTCACGTAGCTTCTTAAAGGGTCATCTCCATAGCCCTTCCCTCGTTACCAAAGACACAACCAAAAACCCCTCACAGAAAATCCAATACAGTAATTTTATTCTAACAGATGAGACAATGAGACGAGTATGTTTACATTTTAAAAATATAAATGATACTATTCACCTCCTCTGAACCACTGTCTGATGAGGCTGCCTTTTGTTGTTGTTGCTTCTTGAGCACTGCTGATCTCTGCACAGCAAGTATACTTGGACTAGACTTCCAAAACTGAACAGAAATGGAGATGCAGGAGTCAGTTAAACATCCTGAAAGCCTCTAGATACTACACATTTACTTTCCTTGTTAAGCATCACTATTAACACTGATCTTAAATTTTATAAATTAAAAAAATCACCACAAAACACTGCATGGGCTAATAACAGCAGACAGCTATTTAAAGTAGTCATATTTCTGGAGAAGAGAATGCTATATAATAATTCACAGGACAATTTCTCCAGCACTTTTAACAATAGTTATGTAGGTTTTGTTACGGTAACGTGTTTATAAAGTACACTTTTAAACTAACCCAGATAAATCCTTTCAGACCACTTAGCTGACATGCTTTTGTTTCATACAGTAATAGTAAAGTATATGAACAAAAATATAACATAAAATCCTTAACAGCCTTCAATTTCTGTGGTAACTATTGTATGATTACCTTTCATATGTATGGTATCACACCCTCATTAAGTCCACACAACACAGGAGAGTGCAGGTAATTTTAGCCCACCGGATTTAAAAGACTTCTAGACATTACTTTTTAATTAATTCCCCTGACTTATTGATAAAGAAAGTCAACTGTATGTAAGCTTGAAATTTTTATACAATCATTTACAATACAAGGAAACTAAGCATTGGAGAAACACTGTGTAAAACAGAAATTCAGAAACAACATTTTGTGTTCTTTGTGTTCTGTAAGTTCCAGTAAACTAATGTGTGCTTCTGCAGGATGAAATTTAGATAAGCATTAAACTCGACACTTACAAATGTGAGAATTTTAAAAGTGTCAGTTCAAATACTTATCCACGAGAAACTTAACCCAAAGTTTAAGACCGCTAAGCACACGCATTCACTAACATAATAAAGTTAAAATCTAATTAAAAACACTTCACTACCTCTTTTTACTTTTTTAAAAATGAATACTCTCTTGAAACTAATTGCACAGAATTATTATTTTTTATTCCGTGCCCCCACTCCCCCCCTCCAGGTTCATGTAAATCTTCTGTGTACCTCAGATCCATCAGCTTTTGGCTGTTTAGCTTGAACTTGTTTCTTCTCCTTAGATGTGTCAGACTCCGATTCTGACTGCGTGCCTGACTCTGAACCAGAATCAGAGTCACTGCTGCCTGACTGGCTGCTGCTTCCATCACTACTGCTCCCAGAGCTTGAACCAGAACCAGAACCTGATGCTGACCCGGAATCATCGTCTGATTGGCTGCAATGAGAAATTAGTAGGGTATTACACAATTGCCGAAGTAACAGGGTTAAAAGAAAACATTGCCTTAGCTTCACCTATAAATCAATTGTTAAGTTAGATCAGACAAATGGGTAGCACACACATGGATGCAGCCAATTAAATAAGTTGAGATAAATAAAGTTAAAAATAAACAAGAAACGAAAATTCAGAGTGTAATTGAATACTCTTTGTGAAGCCTGAAAAAAAAAAAAAGCAAGAACATTCAAATTAATATGAAGGAGTCAAGCAAGGGAAATAAAAGTGATAGAAATGGGTTTTTATGCACACAAATTCTCCACCCCCACCCTCTCAAAAATCCTTGTTTAGCTCCATCAAACACCATATATACATACACAGCTCTTAACAGTTAAATATACTCCACGGAGAAGACTTCCTGTCTAACAGTTGGATTTTTAGTTCAACTAAAATATTAAAGATTGCTTTCAATCTACAGATCACCAGTACTCCTTAAAAAATAATAAAATTAGAAGTACAGAGGTATCACAACGTCCCCCTCCCACCTATGCAGAGCATCTTTTTCTGTTAAAATAACAGCAGTAAAATATCCTATGCAGACAACTCTCAATTTGTCACTGCTGGTATGACTTGTGCCAAGGCACTTTCCTTGGCATATGCGAGCTGCCAGATTATTCCACCTGTATATTTGTTTTACACACCAGATTTAACATACTTAGAAAGCACAATACTGAAAGATAAATCTTTATTTTGGGACCATTCAAAAAACTTAGAAAAAATAGGTTTTCTACAGCAACTTCATGAAGTAGATGAGTTAAATCTTTAATAAGATTCCTAATTATGTTAATACTACCATATTTCAAAGATACTATGAGAAAAAACACTGGCAAAAGCAAAATTATTTCAAGTTACATACAAATTACACTGACTGCAAATGCTTAAAAAACAGAGTAAACATGAAACCAGAATCAAAATTGACAAAACCAAATGTATCAAAACCTAGCTGATTTCTGCCAGCACAATTCATCTGGCTGACAGTCAGCAGGAGGTCGGGGGAAGAGAAAGGCAGATTGATCATCCTCTGCTCTAGAACACACTTAATTGACAACATTTTAAAACTACAAAACAAAGCCAAATCTCTCCTCTTTCTGCTTTTGCTAACACCATCAAAATTGTACCAGTAAAATAAGAAATGAAACTACTCATGAACACTCTTGTAGACTGCACCTCTATCAGGCAGCTGCATCTGTTAACTTTGAAAGAAGAAACAAATCATGGTGAAGCTTCCCTGTTCTGAAGGGGGAAGATACCGAGAAACACTGCTGCTGGGTTTCCTTGCACATACTGAGAGGAAAACTGGGAAGCAACAAGGTTGCTCCCAAACTTCCTATTTCTGCTGTCCAAGGCTTACTTCAGCCATGGTGATATAACACTAACCACATCTGCCAGATAAAGCAGGGCATCTGCTACAGAATAGGACTAGAGTTTAAACAGCTTACCAGACATTAACAGCCCTCCAGTATAATCTTCCAAAGAGATTTTAATAGTGTTCTTGTACACATATATTACCTTACCTTTAATGCTAGGTAAATAAAATAATTATAAAACAAAAGCATTTCTCAGCATAGCAAAGTGCCACAAGTAAATGCCAAGGGGACCGTGGAAGTCAGCACTAACTATAAATGAAGAGAATACAAGAAAATTCAGCGTGAAGAAACTTTGAGAGGCAAGTAAATACCAGCCAGATAAATACCAGTAACAAAGAGGCATCCAAAATGTCTAAATCGTACATAAACTTGGAGGAGGGGAAGGAAATAAAATACTTCCAGGCAGGAAAATACACCCACCGTATGCTTCAGGGCAACAGGTTGAAGGCCCTTACTATCACCCTATTCCTCCAACCCTTGCGTGTCATCCTGCTGCTTGTCACAGACAATCTTGATATCATTATCCCCATCCCCCTTCATATCTAGTTTAAAGACCTGTCAATCAGCCCTGCAATCTCTTGGTCTCATATGATGTCATGCTCAGCATATAAAGCTGGGAGAAGAAGTAAGAAGGAGAGACATTCAGTGTTACAGCATTTGTCTTCCCAAATAATGGTTATACATGATGGCTGGACACCTGCTTTCCAATGGCAGTGAATGACTTCCTTGTTTTGCTTTGTATACGTGTGTCACTCTTGCTTTCCCTATTAAACTGTCTTTATCGCAACCACAGAGTTTTCTCACTTGTACTCTTCTGAGTCTCTCCTCCATCCCGCTGAGGGGAAGTGAGTGAGCAAGCAGCTGTGAGGTGTTCAGTTGCCAGTTGTGCTTAAAGCACAAAAGAAGGTTCAGCTCAAAAAACATTCTCCTGGATGACCGCTGAAGAAAGTGTTGCTCTCCTATTTGCTAAAAACCTTCCTGGCTGTTGCAGAGGACACTAGGCACACTTACATTATGAGAGGACTAACCTAAATCCACTGACTCAGGAAAGTCAGTCCCAGTTTGACACTGCCAGAAATTAGTCAACACTGACTCACTCCTGCCTTTCAACCTTTGACTGTTGGCCACCTAATAAAATATCTACCCTCAAAGTACCTTTTCACAAGGTAAGCTGTCATGGCTCTAAAACTATCCAAAACACAATTAATGTCATATTTAGTACTCCTCTGTACATATTTAGTACTTCATTCAATCATAGAATCATAGGATGGTTTTGGTTGGAAAAGACCTTTAGGATCATCAAGTTCAACCATCTATCCAAGCCCTATGTCTGCCACTAGACCATGTCCCTAAGCATGACATCTACTCATCTTTAAAACACCTCCAAGGATGGTGACTCAACCACCTCCCTAGGGAGCCTGTTGGAGCGCTTAACAATCCTTAAAGTAAAGAAATTCCTCCTAATATCTGACCTAAACCACCCGGGTGCAACTTGAGGACAGCATTCCTTGTCCTGTCACTGTGTACCAGGGAGAAGACACTGACCCCCAATCTCCTTTCAGGTAGTTGTAGAGAGTAATACGGTCTGAAAAAGACATTGGAATAAGTCATCTCGGTCAAACAACTTGTCAATATCACGAAAGACATGTAAACCAGCTACAAGAGAGAATGGTAGAGAGATCAAAGGCAAGGAAAAAAAAGAAGAAAAAAACCCAGTTTACTCAGATAAGTAAGCGAAAATCACATCAGTAAGATTCACAGTTCATGGGGAGTTTTAAGTAGTTTGATATTCTTCAGCACAGGAATTAAAAGGTAATTCAAAAACAAAGGCATAAAGATAGGGGGGAAAAAAGTCCAGTAGACAATGCTAGGTGCTCTGGGGTTGGATGGAAAAAACACAACTAATTCAAATTTATTTTTTTTTTTAAATGAAGACTTCAGCTTGCTGTCACCTAAAGTCTCTGTTATGCTGGGAGGCTGGGAATGAACTCTCATCAGGCTTATAAGCAGGGCCAACAAAGTAAGAGCTATTTTGCAAACCCTGCTTCTCAAAATGATTTGGGCCGATTTGAACAAGAGTAGACTAATAGAACCCAACTGTGTATCAACTAACAGTAATACCTGACGAGTAATGATCTTAAAGTCAATGTTCAACCACAATACTAGTAAATGCAAGACTACAAAATAAGCCTGCAGGTAGAAATAAAAGGGATGGGGAGAGAAAGAAAGCAAATTACAAGAAACAAGAACAAACAGTAACATTCACCACAACCGATTTAGGGCTGCTCTAATGATTCCATGTATGAAGGACAATACAGGATCACTATTGTAGACTAACAGCTAATTGCTACATAGAACAGAGAAAAAATGGAAAAGTAAAATTTAAAGGACATCAATAATGTCTTACTAAGTTTTCTTATCACACAGTGTTAAATTAGCACAACGAAATGGGAAAGACAAACTGAATAGCAGCAAGTAATTTCAAAACTAGAGAAACAGCAAGTACTGGCTAAAATATTTATCAAATCTTAAGGTGCTATGGCTGTATTCATACGTGCTTAAAAATAGTTTGACATTAACTAGCAAAAAGCACTATAAAAGTTCAAGCACACAAGACTAGTCTATGTTGGGCGGAGCTTACTTCCACTCTAATAATCTAAATTAATACAGATGTGTATTAACTATACAAGTTAATGTGTAACTATATATACTATATACTATACTATTTACTATACTATATATTAACTATATAGTTAATGTGTATTAACTATACAAGAAACTATACAAGTTTCTGCTTGTATACCTCCCCCTCCTCCTGTTCACCTCACTCCCAGAGGTCTTGATGCAACTACAGTGCATACAAAAAATTAGGTAAGAATAACAGGTGGAACTTAATTCCTACTTAACTGTGAAGACTTTTCCTGTTCATTGGCCACAGAACTAGTAACTGATAGGTTCTGAGGGCTACCAATGCATGTTTATTTCATTGTTTCCTTTCACACCATGTTTCAACATGAGCTTCAGCAGAACACTGACATGGAGGCAAAACCTCTACAAGGACAATACTATAACCCAGAAACCTAAAGCTTTATTTGCAAAGGAAGTAAGAAATGGGGTAATACATGAGGAAGTTCTGCATAAACGTATACAATAAAGACACACTGCGGATCACTGAGACAATATTGAGCAGCATCACATGATATGTAATACCAACAAATCCCCAATAGCTCCAATAGTCCATACATCAAAGGACTTTCATCTTTTAAGGGAGGAATTCAAAAGGATTTGAACCGACAGTAACAGTGACACAGGTTAAGTGCTCAGTTTTCATAATAAAAATACTTTTTAAAGTTGGTATTTTTCTTTTTATCACAAGTCTCTGCAAATATCCAAAAGAGAACGTGTTTATGCCAAGATCAAAGTATCACACACTTCTAGGTGCAGACTGAGTCCTTGCTTTTCCTGTACTTAAAAAGTTTGGTCTAGCACTTCTAATCACAAACTTCTTTCACAACGTGTAACGCTAGTATATCAACATTTTAAAGTACAACACTGATTTTTTTCTTGTTATTTTTTTTAAAGAAGGACTTACTACTAGCTAATTCCAAGTCATTTTACATTAACAGGTGTCATCATGAGAAGGCAACAGTGAACTTAGTTGAGCCATTCCCTCTATCAAAGTCACTGCCCCTGCTCTCACAGAAGTTTGTTGTTTTCTTCTTCCTAGCTCTAGACAAAAAACCAAAAACCAACAAAAATTGAAAACTCGCTCCCTAATAAAACTATCCAGAAATGCCAGCAGTCAAAAGAAAACCTTTTTGTATCACCGCCACAAAAAAACCCCAATCTTATTGTCTAACTGGACTAGCTACCTATTTAAACAGGAATGTAATGGAAATAGACTTATTTCTTAATTATCTGTAAGTGTAAGTTTGTACAAGGCAGAGAGAAGGAAAGAACAGACTTGATTACTGTGTTTTTTCTTTGTTTTATTAATCTCTCATGTGAAGTAATGTTTTAGAACAGCATGAAACCAGATTGCCAAATGACAAAACTACCAATCAACTTCTGATATAAAGGAGAACCTTATTTGCTTTTTAAATACTACTTGTGAGAAAGCAGCAGCAATAAATTAAAAAATAGACCTATCAAACTTACTCTAAAAAAAAAAAATCAAGAAAACCACCAAAATATGCAGACTAAACTTGGAACAAAGGAAGAATTGTTGTACAGAGCCTCAAACAAAAACTCACTCAAGGACATGATTCTTAAAACTGACTGATACATCCTAGTACAGATACCTCCACTACATTCAGAAGGACTACACATAAACCAGCAGAATACTGGCTGAGAACAAGATAAGGGAGTTCAGGACCCAGGAAAGACCATATGTGGGACTCAGAGTCCATGGAAAGGACAGTAAGAGTGCTTTTTCAGAACCACGAGGGACCACCAGAGATGACCAAAAGACCCCTTGGACACAAGTGCAGTTTGAGCAGAGAATGATTCAACAGGTATTTAAATGTATTATAATTATATTTAAACTAATAGAAATCATTATGTAATCCTGAACCTTTTGTGTATAAATATGCCAAGAAAAGTGCCAGTAGTTGTGTGAGCTTGGATGGAATAAATAATGCCCTTTGCACCCAACATCAAATAAAGAATGTCTGCTTCTTAATGCTACATTCGTGTTTAGAGGTTTTTCTATTCCCAATTTTGGTGACAGAAGTATTACACAAAAAGAGGAATAAAGCACTACCTTTCCCCTCAAAACAAATGGAAAAGAAAAATGTTTTTGTGGCATAGTATAGTAGTATATGGCAGTATGCTACCTCAAAAATACTTCTGAAAAAATAAACACACTTAGTGTATCTCTTCCAGGTGAAGATGACATTTTAACAATGAGAAAGGAACTGCTTTTCAAAATAAACTCATGCTATAGAAGAAGTGTTCTGAAAACTGATGCTTATAAAAGGTTTCCATCTTTGTTATTGTATTTGCAAAAAAACCACTGGGTGTCACCTATAAAAGCTGTCATGTCTGTACACTTAAAAAGTCAGAGAAAGGAATTTCTAACCTGTTTAAAAATCTTCAAAAAAACATTAGTGGGTTTTGAACTTATTTGTTAGAAACCTAGATCTACAACACCTCCTGATTAATCTGCCAAGAAATGATTGACACCAGAGCAGATGGAAATTTACTAGCCAAATTTTAAGAAAAACTTTTGCATCATTAGTGGATAGGGTTGGAAAAAGGAGTATCATGATTTAGTAAGTGTAGCCAATGACACACCTCTTTCATTTGGATTGATGTATCTTTGTGAGGTTATCTTTCTCAGCTACAGCTGCCATTAAAACCAAGTACCAACACAAACTGAACTTGGAATCATACCTTCAAGCCACTGTATCAAGAAGTAATAAACCAAGCATTTAATAAATAAGAATATTCATAATAATTTTTAGTGAGCACAAAAAGGGGCTTTTTGGCCACTAAGAAAGTAAAATATTCTCAAATATTATTTAATCTTTATCGCATCC